ATTCATATAAACGGTATACAATATGTTACAAGTATATATATAATGTAGATATACATATATATATATGTATAATATATATGTTCGTGTAAATTATACTTTTAAAGCTAGGTACATAGATGTTTGTGCAGTAAAATTCGAAACACTTTCCCTTGACTTTTTGTCCTCTTGTAATTCCAAATATTCGGACGTTGGCTGTAAAAAGCCTTATGTACCGCAACCACAATTAGAATATGTGGAAGGTATATAAATGTAAAAGCCAAAAAACATTTAGAATTACGAAACGAATCGAAAATATATTGTTGGTCATTGTTTAATATCTATGTTCATATCTGTTTCAAGGCACATTTGAAATATAATCAGTATACTCATTTCCATGTTACAGAGGAATTTACTAACATTAGTTGTTCCTATCATTTCACTAATGGTCTGTCTGGAGTTAGACGTTCAATGAAATTAAAAAAGTGAGAAAATAAAGAGAGAAAATCAATAGAAAAATATAAAATATTAAAAACTCCTTTAGCCAAAATCACAGACAAGTCCCTTACTTTCTCAAACAGAGCACAGAATCGCCTTTTTATCTTTCCTCATTTTCTTAACTCTAAAAAATAATAGTTATATAAATATTATAAATATACATTCATACATATATACGTAGTCTTATCAAATTATATATACATACACGTATATGTACGCTTTCTGTTACCCGAACTTTCTCTAACAATAAAAATTTACATTTCTTCTATTAATCATTATTTACGTATATTTACACGTACGCAAGTACAGCGTATAAACAATGGTCGTTCCGTATGTGTATATGTGTACCTGTGTAGTATACACGTATACTGCGTATGTATATATCTTTTTTTCTTTATATGTATATTTTGATTATATCCTTTTTTGATATTCAGATCATGAAGGATACTTTTTCATTAATACTGCACCTATTTCTATGTACATAAAATGTTTACAGAACATAATGAAATATAGATAGAACGTATGCCGATGATAATCACAGACAAAGTAACAAATGACTTTGCAATTATAACATGTTCGTTATCGTTACTACACATAGATATGATAAAAATGCCCTGATCATCGGCTTTGTCAAAGTTCACGGCTTGGTCACCGTCGTTACTGTCTTCATGATCGTAATCGTAAGGTTTCATGTTAGAAAAATTAGTTTGCAAGATCAAGTTCTTGCTCTTTTCTAGCATCGTTCGCTACATTCGCTACCATATACACTCTCTCTCTCTCTCTCTCTCTCTCTCTCTCTCTCTC